ATATTGCAAAACAAGACCTCTAAAACGCTTATAGCAAAAGTCGCTGCTTTTTCAAAAGCTGAGCTACCGCATTGACACTTGTACTGGTCCTCATTTGTCTAAACCATTATCACAAGGCTCGCCGAACTGCTGCAAAGTACCCGGGTTGACCAAAAACGCTTATCATACAATTCTCATAAATAGGAAATTTCTTGTCATACAATTCCATACGTACAGAAAATTGTATGAAATCTCTATAATAAACATTTCCCACAAATGGAAATTGTTTGACTAACATTTTGCCATACATGGAAATTGTATGATTAAAAATTTGTCATTTATGAGAAATGCATGACAACAGTTTTGGGAAATTTTTTTTTCAAATGCGGAACAAATTACATTAAAGCCCATGTAAAAAGCCGTGCAATCTCTGAACAGAGGAGAAAACCTGAGAAAATTTTTTTTCAGAAGTTACAACCTCAGTTTCTTAATTTTCTGCAGGAAATCTTTTCGACTCTTTAGATAGCAGCAGGGTCCTAACCTGATCCTAAGAGGGCAAAACTGGAGAGGGGTTACATAAAAAATTATTTAAAAAATCTTTATTATAAAAAAAATTTTATATCTGCGTGAACTATCTCCAGCAAACCTCCTGCAGTTCGGTAATCACATCGTAAATCCACTAGTTCTCACATCCACAAATGCATTTCCACTGAAAAAGAACAGATGTAAAAATTATAACAAAGAGGCGAAGCTGCAGCTTCGCAAACACGAGCGACAAAACAGCAAACATCCAGGAGCTTTAAAATGCACAAAAATATAAATTTTGCTTTAAAAAATTTGGAATGTAGTAAACTAAAGAAAACCACACTAGCTTTTGCATGTAATTAATTAGAATGTAACTAATTTTTGCTAGTATACTGCTAAAACAGCTTAACTTGTTAAAAGTGCCACCAAAGTAGCACTTTTATTTGCCACTTAGATTGGAAAAAAAATTCGTAGTAAAACACTCCGCGACCGCGCGTGTAATTATTGTTCTTACTATATCTATAAGCAGATTGCAAAGAAATTTAAGTTATATCAAAAATTTAAGCCAATCGTTGGAGCGAGCTAGAAGGCCGAAAAGAGGTTTTTTTCTTTGAAAAAATATATCGTCTCATTCACTTCGAATTTAGAAACATTTTATAAATCAAAACTCAGCTCTGTTATTGTTCTTCCGAAAGCTATAAAGAGATAGCAAAAAATATGTTAAAACAAAAAGTTAGGCCAATCTTAGGAGCCAGCCTGAAGCCCGAAAAAGTTTTTTTTCACCTAAAAAAATTATATCGTCACATTTACGTCGATTTTAGAAATGTTTAATATATCAAAACTCAGCTTATTATTGTCGTTCTGAAAGCTATAAGCAGATAGCAAAAAAAATATGTTAAAACAAAAATTTAAGCCAATCTTTGGAGCGAGCACGAACCCCGAAAAAAGTAGTTTTTTTATCTAAAAAAAATCATATCGTCACATTCAATTCAAAAGTCGATGGCAAAAAAAAAACAGATTTGAAAATTGGTAAGTTTTCACAATTCTATGACACAAAACCTGCGACAAGCAAAGATTTTGAAAAATTGGGTTTTTTAAAAAATAGTATCTTCACAACCACGCTTCACGAGTTTAGAAATTTATTATACATCAAAACTTAGCCTTTTGAATTTCCAGCGATTGCACAAATTTGCAGAAAAAAATACTGAGTACTTTCTGATATATAGGGCAGAACATGTTTTGAAGCGATATTTAAGGCCAAATCAAGCCCCCCAAATTGACCTTATGAATTTTTTCATCCAGAGATATTGCTGTTAACGCACTTCTACAACAGTACTGAACACCTGTCAATCAATTGCGAAATTTTTCCTGGGACGTTTTCATCGCTGAAAGTTTTTTGTGAAAATAAACTCTCATTTTTTGGTGTAGGCAAACAAAAAAATAGCACACCCAAAGCGGCATGTCGAATTGACTGTTTTTAAATAAAATTAGATTTCAATTAATTTTGATAGTTTTCATGCATCGAATTATGTTCTGTAACTAGAATTATGAGTAAAATACTATAATTCAGCGATAGAAAAGACCAATTCAACCGTAAAATTATGAAAAAATGAAATCACTTGCAATAAACATTTGAAAAAACCTGGAAAATCGGGTTTCACCTCGCCCAATTATTTATTCTGCAATTCCAATCATAACCCTGCTAACGCTCAACAAATTTAGGAAAAAAAGCGCCTCTTTTGCACCAGGGTTGTAAGAAAACAATGAAAGTAATCGACACTAGAAAAGTATATCGAACCTAACACGCCGTATTGAGGACTGTAAGTGCTTAAATTGGAGATCTGTAGCAATAAACATTGTATGAGGGGCAAAGCAAGTGTCTTTGAAATTAAGAACAGGGCAAGAGCCCAAAAAATAACCTAAAAAAACAATTGAAGTCAATCTTTGAGCGAGCTAGAAAACCGAAAAAAAAAATTTGAAACTAATATTGTTATATTTGGTTATCCGATTGGCGTAAAAGAGAGTACGATATATCAGAATTGATTTTTGGTACTGTTTTTCGATTCCAAAAAATCAGATTTTCAGAAAAAAAATTTTAGTTTTAATAACTCCATAACGCTAAAACTGCGCCGAGAAAATTGGGTTTTTTGTTAAGTTGATATTTTCGCAACCACTGAATTAAGGATTTTACTAAGCATCAAAACTTAGGCTTTTTAATTTCTTCCCGATTTGCAAAAAAAATAGTCAAAAAATTTGCAGTAATTTTTGACATTAACGGTAGAACATTTTTTGAAGCGAGTTCTCATGTCAAATGAAGCACCCCAAATTGAAACCTTCCCTTTTTTGATCCCAAAATCTTCCTTTTAACGCAAAATTTCAACCGTTTCTTACGCCCTAAAACAATTCATTTTGCTTTTTTTTTTTAAAAAAATGACGGAATATATGTGCTCGAGGTGTTTTTTTTTCTCCAGATAAAGTGTGAATTTTGTGAGATTTGAAAAAAGTTTGATAGATTTAAAAAATGAGAGAAATTGGAAAAAGAATGAAAAAATTGAAATAATACCCTCTCTCGGTTTCTCTCACAACATATCAACCATAGTTTTTTTCACAAAACATCGCAAAAGACATAGATATCACGGTTGGGTATGGAATTGTAAAATGTAAATTTTGTGAGCTCAAAAGAAAAAAAAATCTTTCAAAATTTTTTTTTCATTTTGATTTTT